AGTGTTACCGGTTCAAGGATATAAGAGCTGTCTCCAATTCATTTTTGCAAATGTGCAACATGTGCAAATGTGGACAGCTCTTATATCCTTAATTGGGCCATGTTACTTGCCTTTTAACTGATTAATTGAGGATTGTGAATCCATCATAACTTGAATATATACACTTTAAATATAATACCCTTCTCCTGTATTAATGGGAATATAATACAACCACTGCACTCATGTACTACTAGTACTACCACTACTGAGAGGCACAGGTCAACTCGACCCGCGCTTGTGGATTATAAGGGGGCAAAGTGCATCAGTCAATCAGACCCACTATCACTGACGTTCATAGGGTCTATGCCCCCCAGGGTACTGCCGGAACGTACCCTGGGTACGGTCCGGTATACCGGAACGTACCCTGGTAACTATTTGATATGGTATGGGTTAGGGTTAGGGTTAAGGTTAGGGAGTAGGCGTAGGCGACTATCGTAGTGCGTAGTGCGCCGTGGGATTATGGCAATTTTTTTCTCTGTATTCAAGTTTTGTTAGGTCTTGCCAAGTTTTCTCACAGTCTATCACGGTATCTGTGACGGGCCGTGAGGGGGAGGGGAAGGGGCTGCTGAGTCCCGGAGGGTGCAAGGTGCACTACGGTTCGGTCCGCGGTCTACCACGGATGCCATTACGTTCCCTCCCGGCCCGTCACGTTCTGATGGGGTCCCTCACGTTTCTCACGATCTGATCAAGTTCTGACACGTTTTTCACGTTCTGTCAAGGCTTTCTACGGATGAAACGTGGACGCCGGGCAGCTTTGGAGCACGTTTGTGCCCACGGTATATGCAATAGCAATCATTGTATCCTGAGATTTCGACGTGACAACATCATGAATGCCCAAGATGAAGAAGATTTTGTGTTTGCATGTTTGCTGGGTGCATACATCCAGTCTTTGTGTCAGCAAGAAGAATGCCAGCAGCAGCTTTGCCTTCTTTCTTCAAAGCTTGGTCTTCTCTCTTCGTATTGTAGATGCAGTAATGTGTCGTTGATTGAATTCGAATGAAGCTCCCCTGCCTGGACCGGCTTTTATATACTATATCTCCCAGACCGCGCGCGCCGTCTCAGACCGTAGTAGAACGCAACGCGCCGTAGCGCGCCGGGCCCGTAATACACATGCTTCCCGTCCCACTACGGACTGCCACCAAGTTTTGTTACGGCCTGTTACGTACTGTCACGTTTTGTTGTGTTCACCCCGTTTTACTACGGCCTACTAGGTTTCTCATCCGCACCGTGACTGCCATGGAAAATCTTTTGACAGATTAAAAATCTGGCGCAGCATCCACGGCAATCACGGCCTGTCACGTTTGCCCATTCCGTCCCCCCGCGTTGTCTCACGTCCATCCCGTTTTGTCCACGGTGGCCTGAAACGGGGCTGCCGTGGCCGCCGGGAACACAGTGTAAACGCAGCATTAAGCGAGAAGGGAACTTGTGGCTTCTACGCTATATTGGCCACCATCAACATACTGATGATTATGCCAACGGGAGGCGCTGGTTGAGACTAAAATAAAATTTTCCTTCCCTTGATTTTCTAAAGAAAAAAACCAAAAAAGCAAATTTTACTTAAAAAACTGCCCTGATGTCGTTTAGGC